GCTCACAGCCACACGCTACAGAAGCACAATAAGTGGCCTCGTAGTCTCCTACAATCTCTGGTCACAAAATAACTGCATGTGGCCACAGCTGGTAGTTGTGGCCACAGCTGGTCGTCGTGGCTGCAGGAGGACCTCACATTCTCTCCTACAGTTTATGTCGTCCTTCGTTGCTGAGTCACCCACCTTCTGCTGTGTGTTGCTCCTTCGTCGGGAAAAAACAACAGAAATATTGCTATGTTGTCCTTACCAAATTTACCCTCACGTTGAAGTAGAGTCTTGGAGGCTCACTTAGACTCATACATTAAGGTTATCCTCCAAGGGTAATCCTCCAAGACACCTATGTGAGAACTCAAAGTAAACTCCTAAGTGGTTAGACATGATTCTCAAGACTCAATCACGTGTGTATAGTGAGTGAGCGAGGGGAAGGCAACGTAGGATAAATGCATTAGAAACCCGAGTGGAATATCCATATCCGATATCCCGATCTGCCACAAATATCGGAAAGTCATGATAACAAATGTCTACGCTGTTATGATGTGGCTTTATTGTCTGACCGATCTGACAACTCAATATCTTTCTCCAGCACTACGACCCTCTCCAACCTTACTACGACCCTCTCCAACCTTACTACGACCCTCTCCAACCTTACTACGACCCTCTCCAACCTTACTACGACCCTCTCTAACCTTACTACGACCCTCTCCAACCTTACTACGACCCTCTCCAACCTTACTACGACCCTCTCTCACGACCCTCTCCAACCTTACTACAGCCCTCTCCACCTTACTCTCCCAACCTTACTACGACCCTCTCAACCTTACCGACCCTCTCACACGACCTCCCCTTACGACCCTCTCCACCTTACTACGACCTACTCCCCCTCACTACGACCCACACCCCTTCACCACAACCAGCCTCACACAACGGGTTTAACTCTCACATCATCTATAGAAAGTCAACCTAATTCTCCTTAATATAATTTAATACTGTTTTAAGGGGAACTGCCGTCTCTCAACCACCAAAACAAAAGACGATCGGGAGACGGCAGACGAGCGTAAAAGATTGATGATGGTGGGAAGTAATGGCTAGCTGATAAAGAGAGAGAGACTAGGCTGGTTTTTGGACGGATGGATGGGTCGATGGATTACAGTAGATTAAGTAAGATACGTTAGGTTAGGTTACATTAGATTACCGAGAGCTTAAATTAGGTTAGATTAGGTTAGCAAACGGTTAGACTAGTCATCAGGTGAAACTAATTAGCGTGTGTAATCTTCGGGTAATCGAAAATTATCCCAGGTAAATTCTCCCGGTCACTGCAGGAGAGTATTACTGTAATAACACTTTAATACAGATGACATTACCGATCACCAGTTTAGTGGTCTCGTTATTATCACCTAATGACTGGTAATTAAGGTGTGTGGTCCGCTGAACACCTGGCTGGAGTAATTACACTAAAGATATTGATATTAATCTAATCTTTATTATTCTGTAACGTGAGACCTTCCACGCTGGAGTCTTGGAGAGAATAGCTTTTGTGTGTCTGTCTGTCTGTCTGTCTGTCTGTCTGCCTGTCTGTCTGTCTCTTTCTCTCTGTCTCTGTCTGTTTCTGTCTCTCTGTCTGTCTGTCTCTCTTTCTCTTTATTGTCCCATAAGGTGAGGCCACTGTAATCGGTAATTTAGTGAGTGAGTAAAGATAGGGCCTAGTGTGCAGTGTACTGTATCCACACTTCCCCTCACTGGCTGTCACTACTGGGGGAGTCATCTTTCACTGTTCTCCTGTTGTGTAACTTGACTACCTGTGCTGACATTGGCTGAAGGATTAACCTGTCTGTCAGTCTGTGTAACTTACCTCCTTGCTGACTTAAAAAAATAAAAGTGAATTTCTTCTTCCCTCTTCTGCCTCTCCCTCCTTCCCCCTCCTTCCCCCTCCCTGCCCTCTTCTAACCCTTCCCCCTTCCCCTCCCCCCCCCCTGTCCTAATATACAGGGACGTCTCGTGAGGTCATAAAACCTTTGATAAACTTTGAGGAAAAATAAGATTCAGTGCTTTAGCTGCCGAAGCTGTTTCCTCACTCACCATGGTTCATCCACGCCACTCCCTCGTCACTCATTGTCACTCCTACACTCCCTCGTCACTCATTGTCACTCCTACACTCCCTCGTCACTCATTGTCACTCCTACACTCCCTCGTCACTCATTGTCACTCCTACACTCCCTCGTCACTCATTGTCACTCCTACACTCCCTCGTCACTCATTGTCACTCCTACACTCCCTCGTCACTCATTGTCACTCCTACACTCCCTCGTCACTCATTGTCACTCTTACACTCCCTCGTCACTCATTGTCACTCCTACACTCCCTCGTCACTCATTGTCACTCCTACACTCCCTCGTCACTCATTGTCACTCCTACACTCTCTCGTCACTCATTGTCACTCCTACACTCTCTCGTCACTCATTGTCACTCCTACACTCCCATGTCACTCACCACACCTCAATCTCACACTCCCACAATACATACCCTAACCCAACCTAACCTCTCAAAAACTCAAATCGAGAGAGGATAAAACAGACAGACAGACAGACAGACAGACAGTCAGACCGACAGACAGACAGACAGACACGTATTAAGGTAATCTATTAAGACTTGAAGCATTCAGGACACGTCTGGCAGGGCTGTCGTTGTCTGGTACCTCACAACATAACGCCACAACCTGATTAGGGAGAGTGTCGTACAGCAGTGTGGGTAGTGTGGAGTGTGTGGGTAGTCTGTGGGGTAGTGTGGGGGTAGTGTGTGGGTAGTGTGGAGTGTGTGGGTTATGTGGAGTGTGTGGGTAGTGTGGGTAGTGTGAGAGTGTGTGAGTGTGTGGGGAGAGGAACGAGTTTATTTTGCTTAAGTTGATAATTTTGTTTGGTTGAAATTTGTGTCTTAATTTTGTTGGTTTATTCTTGTGGCTTTTGTTTCTGTTGTCATATTTAATTACTTTGGGGGGTATTGGAGAGAGGTGATGATGATGATGATGATGATGATGGTAGAGGAACAATGGAACAGAAAAGAGAATAAAAATAAAGAGATTGTTAGTAGTTATTTATGCAGGAATAAAACATGAAGGAAGAGTATATGATTTACGCCCGAGAGAAGAAGGAAGGGAGAGGAGCTAAAGGGAGAGTTTAACAGAGAGGGTGAAAAGGTCGAGAAAGTAAGGGAGGGAAGGGAGAGAAGGGAGGAAGAAAGTTAAGGGAGAGATTATTATTATTATCATTATCGTTGTTGTTATTATTATCATCATCAATTTCTCTCTGTCTGTTTATTTATCTGTTTGTCTGTCTAATGGAAACAGCTTTTACCTGATGACCATTGAGCTGTCGGTAAAAAGGTTTAATTATATGGATTTTTTTTCTCTGTTAGTTTACCAGAGTTGAGGTTACTTGACTTAGTGTACCTGTTATTGTGTGTTCGGTGGGGGGTGGGAGGGTGGGGTAGGGAGGGGGGGGAGGCGGTGAGAATGGAAGTTTGGCTTTGGAATTAAAACAAAATATATTGTTTATTTTTATCCATGTTGTCAGACTCGCGTGGTTAGGTAACATGACCCCTTTTGTCACCTAAATCGAAGCCCATAAATCGAGTGATGAGGCTCGTTACTATGATAACTAAGCTGTTAGGTAGTGAAAAACAGGCAATTGTGTCCTATACGCATTACTGCCTGGTAGGGAAAGTGTGGGTACAATACATTAGAGTCTAACCTAACCTAGCACTAACTTAACACTAACCTAACACTAACACTAATACTAACACTAACTTAACACTAACTTAACACTAACTTAACACTAACACTAACACTAACCTAACCTTGTCCATAGTCTTATTTTCATCCGGTATATAAACAATGGGACAAAGTTAGACGTCTCCTGGAAACTGAACTTAATGCGTGAAATGTAATGTACCGGTGCATCAAGGGGAGGTGTGTGTGTTTTGTGTGTGTGTGTGTGTGTGTGTGTGTGTGTGTGTGTGTGTGTGTGTGTGTGTGTGTGTGTGTGTGTGTGTGTGTGTGTGTGTATATACCAGTATGTACACATGTGAGTATTCATGTATGTACAAAACTACACAACACGTATTTCTAACTTTCAATCAAACTTTCCCTCCAGAAACAAACAACGAAACAACAGTTATTGTGGTTATAAATGGTGGGGTCAGAAGTTGGGGTCAGAAGTTGGGGTCAGATGTTGGGGTCAGATGTTGGGGTCAGATGTTGGGGTCAGATGTTGGGGTCAGATGTTGGGGTCAGATTGGGTCAGATGTTGGGGTCAGATGTTGGTCAGATGTTGGGGAAAAACGTCATAGATGTTTTATGTGGTCCAGATGTTGGGGTCAGATGTTGGGGTCAGATGTTGGGTTCATAGATGTTGGGGTCATGTTGGGGTCATAGATGTTGGGGTCAGATGTTGGGTTCATAGATGTTGGGGGTCAGATGTTGGGGTCATAGATGTTGGGGTCATAGATGTTGGGGTCATGTTGGGCTCAAAAGTATATCAATTATCATAAAATATCGTTTCTTTTCACATTTTATCGTCATATAAACTAAAGTATTTAACTAAGTAATTTCCTCATAAGTTAAACGATAAAATAATTAATTAACAAATATTACCGACAAAATTAGTTCATTCTGTGTTAATTCGAGTTAACACGTATATTTAATCCACCTTATATAGCGAGGTTTACTCTTGGCAAATATATGAAAAAAAAAGTTTAATCCGAGTTCTTTTCTTAAAGTTGTCTTTCAGAAACACCTGTGAAACTATTAATGACTATCGTTAATTAATATCAAGGTAATGTATGCCATTTAGGAACCTTTAACGAGGAAGGTGATATTATAATTCGTTTATGGTAATTTGATAGTTAATTATATCTTGTCTTTAATGGATGAGAAATATGTAAAAAAAAAAAAATTGAGGGGACAAGAAATTGGTAATAAACATGTGCAGGAAGGTTGGAAGACTTACCTTTTTACACTTGACGAGGGCGATGATGGTGATGAGGTTACCGGGTACACCCAGGACGATGAAGAGGACGCAGCAGAAGACGGCGAAGTCAAGCAGGTGAGGCGGGTAGTCGGCGAACAGTTCCCCTCTCCCGTGGGTGACGTTGGCGAAGGTGGAGGTGACGCTGGGGTGGTGGTAGGTGAGGTTGTGTGTGAGGGCTGAGAGGTAAGGCTCATCGGGTCCTCCTAAGAGCCTCTGCAGCCCTCCATCCTCAGGGGAGCCTAACGTGTCCTCACCTGCCTCCAGCGTGAACGATAGAGCCTCCTTGATTATAGACGAGGAGTTTTGGGAGGCTTCATTGTCCACGGAGGGTGAGGCTGACCCCATCAACACACCCATAAAACTGTGGCCTCTTGTTCCCTCGTTCACGGAACTCGTCATATTTTCCACCTCATCTTCTCTAAACAATCCACTGAGGTCTTGGCCCACAGTGTAGTTGTAGGCACTGGCACTAACGGAGTGGACGCTTGGCCCTTCCCTCCCGTCATTCTTTCTCACTTCCTCCACATCACTGCCACCTGTACCGCGCCGGTCACTCAAGTAGCCACTGGTCGTCGCTCTATATATCGACCCTAATATGGTATGCACATTATTTTCCGTCATATTGTGGCCTCCTTTTCCTTGGCCTTCACCAGTAAAGAATGAGGAGTAAGAATCATTGGCGGCCACAGCTGCTCCTCCTGTCACACCCCCATCAGAAAGGTCACGGGACTCACTATAGGTTAAGGGTGACTGTGACCCCTGTGGGACCTGGCGTGACCCTCCTAAGACACTGGGCCAGACAGGAGTATCAGTATGCCACACCTGTAGTGTGGCAGGTGAGCCAGACTCTCCAGACATCATCAGTGAGCCACACCTTCACCAGGAGCCACAAGGGGTGTCTGGCAACAGGTTCTGATCCTCACTCGTCCTCCTCTCTCCCATTTCTCTCAGTTTTCCTCAACTTTCCTTGAATTATTCATCCCCTTAGTCTTGAGGCGTCAACACTAGCGTACACATGACCTGAGGAAGAGAGAGAAAACACTTGTCAGAAATAAACACGACAGAGTAACAATATTGTGTTCAGTTACACAAAGACAAACATTCTGGCTCTGTCTAAGGTTTGTCAAAGGAATATACAGCTGCAGGATAAGTTTTTGCTCTAGAATTTTGCAGTTGTTGAGTGACCTATAAAATAGCTCTACATGACACGCAACCATTTTTTACTCGTTGTGTTCAGCGAGAGGATTATAGATTTGCTGCTGAACCGGAAATTGTAAAACTGTCGCGGGGAATCGACATCGTAAAACTGTAAGCGAAACTGCGATCGTAAAATACGTTTTTGAAATAGGAATCATATCACAATCCTGGCCATATAGTGAGGGCCTGAGGGAGCTACTACAGGAACACCCAGCACCAGGTTCCTATTAGACTAGGACTCATGGTAACAGGATGTCTTATTATTTGATGAGATCCTGTGAGAAGATTTAGTAGAGTGACATCAAAGACGACCCGCAGGTGTCATAAACTTACACGGAGTAAACACTGCCCACGGGAGTCATATGGTTAACAGGTGAGGCATAAGTCATTACCTCACACCTGTCTCTTCCCTCACCTGTCCCTCCCTTCCCCCTCACCCTCCACCCTTTCACACCCGCCTCCACCTTCCCTCACAGACCCCAAGTCTAAAAAATCCTGACTCTCTCTCACTCTCTCTCTCTCTCTCTTTCTCTTCTGCCCCCTCGGTTTACCTGTAAGGAATATCCAGGTGTATCCACGAGGCAGGATATCACTCACTCCTATTCCGATGAAAATAACACACACACACACACACACACACACACACACACACACACACACAGTAATCTCTGGGTTTACACCACTACTATTTCGCTTAACCTACCATAAAATAACCCAGGAAATTGCTTCAAAGTTTTTTCGTGGATTCGCCCGAAGTTCAATGTAACTTAAGGTTAATTACATCCCTAAACATGAGGTAGGTTAGTTTAGGTTACGTTAGGTTAGCTTAGGGCAGGATTGGTTAGGCTAGGTTTGGTTAGGTAAGATTAGATTAGGTTTATTTTCTCATTATAACCAAATCCTAAGACTCAAAACCTGATCCAACTAAACCAAGACTTAATGAACCTCAATTCTAAGACTCAGGTACAATAAGACTCAAGGCGAAATAAGACTCATAAATTATACCCAGCCGTCACAGGTAAAAGTAGTGATCATATATAACTTCGTCTTCGTGTGAATTACCCTAGCAATTATAGGTCATTCGTCATGGGCTATAATGATGATAGTGACTTATATAACAGTGTCTTAGCTGGACGAGTGTTATAGCGAGTACTGTGAATAACATTGATCTTCTCTAACAGGATGAACGTGAAGAACAATGAATAGTGTTTTAAATATCTTGATACTTGAGGAAAAATACAAACACCAAAACACAAATATAGAGAGAAAATAAGCAAACAAACACAAACAGAGGAAAACAAACAAACACAAACAGAGTGAAACAAACAAACACAAACAGAGTGAAACAAACAAACACGACGCAAACAAGAGGAAAAAAACATTCAACGTTTGTTTATTTATTCAGATCATACAACAAGAGATTGATGATAAGTGTGAAGGATTCTGGTGGGCGTGATGGGCCTGATGAGTGTGGTGGGCGTGATGGGCGTGATATACAACCCAGATTTATGACCTAAATTAGAGGAATTTGGAGGTGGCCGCCTGCTGGGCCTCCTCTCAGTGCTCGTGATGAGGAGTGGATGATGATTGTGGTGGGGCGGGCTGGTGGGGGTGAGGTGGGGGAGGGGGGTGGTATGTGTGTGGGGGTGTGGGGGATGTAGGTGTGTGAGAGGGGGGTGGTGCAGGTGTTTCTGTGTGTGTGGGGGGGGGGTAGGAGGGGTTGGTATATGCTTGTATGTGTGTGTGTGTGTTTGAATATCCACATCTGTATCCACACATAAACACTTAACTCACGACATATTAATCGTTATATCCACTCTCCTGAACACCTGAGTCCACCAGCCATCACCAACACAGGTAAAGTGACACACACACACACACCTGGGGCTAGCATCCCCCTTAATTACTCTCTGTCTCAGCCTCAACACATCACGCCCTCACGGGATAGACTGGAACATGATATATACCTGAAGGCTCCTTATAATTACAGGGGTTGATCGTGTTAATGATGCTTATAACAGGATCTGACCTTACCTGTGACAGGTGTACGTCAGACATAATTAATATTTTGGTTTTAATGTTTTAGGTTTAATGATGTTTATATACTTCAGTCCTTCACTAACTTCCTTCTCTCTTCCTTCCTTCCTCCTTCTTTCTCTCTTTCCTATCACCACATACCTTCCTGTAACACCTCTCTCTCTCTCTCTCTCTCTCTCTCTCTCTCTCTCCACTTGACACCAGATTAAAATAGTAATGGTATAGCATCCTCTTGCCCCTAAGTACCTCTCGCTGCCCTCCTCCACTACCTACTTGACACTTATGACAGCCGATGTGATATGACACCATGTTCCTTGACATGTGTCCCTCTCCCTCTGCCCTCTCTCTCTCTCCTTCTCCCTGCCTCCCTCTCTTCCGTCCTTTGATCTCCCCCTTCCTTGTCTCATTTTTTCTTTCTCCTTCTCTCTCTCTCCCTTATGTTCTTCCTTTCTTGTCCTCCCTTCCTCCCTCCCTCCCTTCCTCCTTCCCTCCCTTCCTCTATTGCCCGGTACTTGACACTAGAGTAAAATTTAGCACCTTCTTGCCCCCCTGAAGCTGTAAATATCTAGCCTTGCCCCAGCCTGTGGTCGGGGTAGTACGGGAAGACGAAAGACCTCCTCCCGCCCTCTCTCTCTCCTCCCGTCCTGCCTTATATAACAGCAGGCTCTTCACGGCTAATATACTGACCTACTTAACCTACCTCTTGAGTATATCAGTGAGGGTATAACGTTTGTGTGTGCCAGTCAGCTGTACCACACTGTCAGTCAGCTGTACCACACTGTCAGTCAGCTGTACCACACTGTCAGTCAGCTGTATCACACTATCAGTCAGCTGTACCACACTGTCAGTCAGCTGTACCACACTGTCAGTCAGCTGTACCACACTGTCAGTCAGCTGTACCACACTGTCAGTCAGCTGTACCACACTGTCAGTCAGCTGTACCACACTGTCAGTCAGCTGTACCACACTATCAGTCAGCTGTACCACACTGTCAGTCAGCGTCTCTACAGGGTCATACAAAAGCTCATATCAGTAAGTTTCTTTATGACCAGACTGTATTGTGGGTTCCTTGCTTTATAGATAGAGGGGGCTGGAGGGTTGGGGGGGAGGGGTAGGGAAGGGAGTAAGGTTGGGTAGGAAGAGGAAGGAAAAGGAGGAATAGAGGGGGAAAGGGGGAAAGGGGAAAGGGGGGAAAGGTACCTAATATAACAGACGGAATGGAGCGGCTTATATTATCTTGGGCTTTACGATATGGGAAGACCAATTATATCAGGGGGAGGAGGTACTGGGTCCAGCTTCATATATCAGGGAGAGGTTCTGCCTCTAATATCTGGGGAATATAGAGCCTGAACAGAGCTCTCTCACACACACACACACACACACACACACACACACACACACACACACACACACACACACACACACACACACACACACATAAATCTCTACACCTTTCTTTGTGTCCGTCTCTCTCTCTCTCTCTCTCACAACACCCTCCCTCTCTCCCTCTATGGTATCTGGGGGGGTACACATATAACAGACACCCACTCCTAATATCTGGGGAACATCACCCCTGAGTACAATGTCCCTTCATCCCTGTCTAAACCACAACTACAGAGAACGTGGGAGATAGGAGGACGGGGGAGATAGGAGGACGGGGAGATAGGAGGACGGGGAGATAGGAGGACGGGGAGATAGGAGGACGGGGAGATAGATAGGAGTCACTAAGCTGGTCCTTCTCTCTGTGTTTTTTTATTGTTCTCCAGTATCTGTCTGTCTGTCTGTCTGTCTGTCTGTCTGTCTGTCTGTCTCTCTGTCTGTCTGTCTGTCTGTCTGTCTCTCTCTTACCTGTCATTTATATTTTCCTTGTTCTTGCTTTTCCCTGTATGCCACCATTCATTCCATTTGTTATAGTTCTGTCCTTGTCTCTCTCTCTCTCCTTTCTTTACCAATTTCCTTATGTTTGTCTGTCTGTTTGTCTAGCTATCTATGTTTTCTGTCTGTCTAGTTCTCTACGTGTTGCCTCACTCCCCTTTCATCATATATTCGTCTGGTCTTGTCACTCTTATTGCCTGATTCCCACAAAGGATTTTTCCGGTTGCCATTTAAGAGCGTTTGTTTGTCCTTCCATCCCGCAACCTTCAGAATCAGTGATGTTTTTATCCCCCCCTCAGCCTCCTGCAGCTTCGGTGATTTATTATTCAACATTTCTGATCGTGTGATGTTTAGCGTCAAGCTCAGGCAGATTGGTGCTATCAAGGATTTGCATATATTGAGGGAACTTTCCACGTTGATGTGAGGTAAAGATAATATATGTTTTTAAGATATACATAAACTGTGGAAAATGGCGGAAAATACGATACCTTGATGGGGAAATTAGGTCCCAGAGAAAAATTGACTCAGCCTTCCTGTACACGGAGACAATGTAGTTAATAGTACTGTTCCTTGTCCCCCAACTGGGTCGACTTAGGGCGCCTCACCTAGTGTTTAATCGTGACGGATCGAACCGGCAACCATTGGGTCGGGTGGTGAGTGTTATATCTGCCACACACACAGGCACCCCTTACTGGTCCACAACTCTCCTGACAAGATGTACACAGCGTTACTTCCCGGATATATAAGACGAGACGCGCTCTTGTCTCATGTACAAAGGATGAGTTATGTCCCTCTTGCTGTGAGCTTCGGTTCCCCTATCACCACCACCACCTCTCTCTCTCTCTCTCTCTCTCTGAATAAATAAAACCGGTTCAAGAAGATATATCACATACTATGGGTTTGTGTGTGTG